ATCTTCTACTATATGATAAAACAAAATATAGAAAAGCTCATTAATAAAAAAAAATTACATTTTTTGTCATCTCCACACTTTTAAAAATAAAATAAAAATTACATTTTTCAAATAAATTATTATTCTTTTACTAAAACTCAAATAAATTGAAACATCATACATTAATTTCAAACATTTAATTTTAGTATCTATTAAATCATTTTTTTCTCTCCGGAACAAGATAGTAACGACAAGAAAAAATATAATCTATATATTTACTTCTAATTTTTTTTTGGGTGAAAGTTTCGTATTCCTACAAAACAAATGCTGTCAAAAAGAATGAAACGCCATAAATTAACACAGACCAAATTATAATTTCTCAAAGCAATAAAATATTAAATTTGGTGAAACAAGCAGTGATCTAAACAATAAAAAAATATGGCAATAGGGATATAAATTAATTGAAAAGTAGAATAAAACCTCTACAAAATTAATATACACTAAATATCTCTATATTATAATATAATTTTATAGTCCTAAATTGAGTTTTTGGTTCGATTAGTATATCGATAAATTAATATCTCTCTAAATTAATAAAAAATAAAATTTTGGTGTAATCCCAACATTATTAATTTATAGAGATTTCACTGTACATCTAAAACTATAATAAAACTTATAAGAACAATAAATCAGCAACATATAGTTATTAAGTCATATAATATCTATTTCGATATTATTAGCGTTTGCACACAAATAATTTATAATTAAAATTTTGTAAAAATTGATAGATATGTATTATAAATATTCAAATACTAATATAATAGATTAAATTAAACTAAAATTTATATAAAAAACCCGGGCGTAGCCCGGGCAAACCACTAGTATTACATATAGAATGCCTTAGGTTGTGAATTATATATATTACCCAACTTATCTGTAAATTTTTATCACATATATATATATATATCTTATTATATAAAGCTTGGTTCCTCGAAGTTACTAATTAACACGATTGAGACACATGACGTTTATATTTTTAAGATCGTGACATGTGTTACACAACAAATAGTAATTATCCTTTTAGAAAAATTAGTTATATCCTTTCAAAAATAGTAATTATCCTTTTATTTTTTTAAAAAAAATTAGTAATTCTCCTTTTAAATTTATTACTGATTTTCCTTCTCTCAAATAATACAGAAAAGTTAATTGTCAAAAAAGTAGTAATTATACTTTAAAAATAGTTTAAAAAAAACAATTAATGCTAATTTTCTTATAATAATTATTATTGCCAACTATAATTATTCACCATACACCATACATAATTATTGCTTCAAGACAAATATAAGGTTAGTTTATATATCTTGATCATCTTATGTTCTTCCTCGCATGTTTTTTTCTTTTTATAAAAGTTTGATTCTTTAAAGTTACTAATTAACATGATCACGTCATGTGGCAATAATAATCGTGAGATTGTGACATTTGTCAAAAAAATTATCATAAATAGAAAACTAATCAATCAAAAAATATTTGATAGTATTTTTTCCTTTTTAAAATTCTAAATAAAAGATAATTACAAATAATTATTTGCAAGTAATTTTTCTTTTTTAAATCCTAAATTCCATATTTTAATTCCTACACAAAAAGAATTATAAAATAAAATAGTAGTTTTCAAAAAATATATAAAGCAAAAACAAATTATAAATTTTACAAATACGTATAAAAATATTTAATATAATTTTCCTTTTTAAAAAAAATCCTAAACAAAAGAGGTGTAAGCTATTTATTTATAAATAACTAATTTTCATGTTTATTAAAAAATTGCCTATTTAAAAAATCATAAATCAAAAGTTTTTTTTTCTTTTTAATAATAATTCTAAATAAAAGATAATTGTAAATATATATTTGTACGTACTTTTTTCCTTTTTTAAAATCTTAAATGCCATGTTTTAATTCCTACACAAGAGAATTATAAAATAAAATAGTAGTTTTCAAAAATATATAAAGAGAAAACGATTTATAAATTTTCCAAATACTTATAAAAAATTATTAATATAATTTTTCTTTTTTAAAATCCTAAACAAAAGTGGTGTAAAGGTAAAATTTCAGCCATTTGTTTGTAAATAACTAACTTTCATGTTTAATATAAAATTTCCTATTTTAAAAAATCATAAAGCAAAAAACTACGAATATTCCATGTATATAGGTCTAACTGTTTAAACTTTCTCATATTTTTTCACATAACACAATAAAATTTACAACATAAATATTACGTGAGTATCTTTTTTATCTTCATGAAACATACTCTAATTTTATTACTATGATATTTTCTACATCTTTTTATATTGTAACTGTTGTAAAATTATGATAATATCATTGTAAATTAGAATTTAGAGTTAAGATGGAGTTAGAATTTAGAGTTAAGATGGAGTTAGAATTTAGAGTTAAGATGGAGTTGGAGTTTAGACATTATAATTTTTTAAAATCCTAACAAAAATAAAATAACCTATTTAGTACTAAAAGAATTTGATGAGAAGTATGATGCTAAAGCTATTACATTAACAAAAACTAAAAACAAATAGGATATTTTCGTGATTGGTATTTATGTGTTTGGTCATACATAAATCAAACACATATTTGATATATAAAATTTTCATGTTTGCTCATAAAAATTGATTATTATAATTGTCAACGTAAATAAGTTTGGTAAAAAAATTCAAATTTCATAGTTATCTTTTTTTTCTTTAATTTTAGTATGTAATATTTTCTAATTCAGTTTAAATAAAATCTTATTCTGAAAATGTATCATTAATAAATAATGAATCAATAAAATTATTTAAGACCAAATAAGTTTAATAAAAACATTAAATTAGTACATAAAAAAGTGTATAATGTTTTCATTATTTCTTGGCCTTAGTTAAATTCCAAATTTTGTTTTATTTCATTCTAAATTTTATTTCTGGTTAGATATGTTTACATTTTTAGGTACAAATGTTTTTTTATCTCTATGTACAAAAATGATAACAATTTATCTATGCACCATGATTATAAAACAAATATTAACTGAAACTTATGCATGAAAACAAATTCTTACTTATAAAATAAATCTCACATAACATATGCAAAAAAAATCTTAAAACTATAATATTTTTTATTAATCATAATATCAAACAAAATCCGTTGCAATGCAACGGGCCCAAATCTAGTATATATATATAATGCCTTAGGTTGTGAATTAAATATATTACCCAACTTATTCTTCTTTTTCTATTTATCTTCGTTAGTTTTTTGTTTCCCGTGTTTGTCGATTTTGTAGTCTCCAAAATATTATTTCCCAACCAAATAAAATTTTTTGTAACACGATTATGTCTAAGAATATCGGTGCATCTCTTTTATGAATTGTTCACCTCCATGATTCATCTCTTATACCTAGATAAGTTAATTTTTCTTTTGTATTTCAGATAGTAATTATAAGTTCTATAAATCTTTTCTGTCGAGAGATGACCTGAGGTGCAGCCAGGTAACAATGAGATGTATATTCACGAACATCCAGAAGTCTAAATCTTCTGGACTTTCACTGTAACTGACGTTCAAATCTATGTCATAACCCCAAGAAAGGGAGAGAGAGCTAAATCTATAATCTTCAGGATTCAAGAAGAAAAAGAACATAAAGATCTAGGACAGTAATATGAATGAAAAAGAGTTTCATAAATCCACTGACGTCATATCAAATATTAAGTACAGTAACAGATTTCACAACTTGTTAATATGGCAATGCACACAAACTTTAAGGAGCAGAAATTCATGCCCAGTGTAGCAACATCATAACAACTGAGGTTATATCAAAGGCCAAACCAGTCCTCCCAAAGAGTTCAAGCCGGACCTTAAGGATCTTCAATTGTTCTCCTTTTAACCCAGATACTCAACCAAAAGAAAATATTCACCGCCTCCTCCAACCAAAGAAACAGAACCGTATTGTCTGTATTTCTAGGCTGATGTCTCTTACATTTCATCGGACTTTCACCCTAAGGAGGAGCAACAACACAAATCATATGAACACCGACATGATGCAGAGCAGCTCCAGTTGCTGCTTGAGAAAGATCACCGTGTAAGGGATGAGATCCGATTGACTCGTCGCATCTCTGAACCTCTCGCCGGAGCTCCACCACGAAGACTCCATCTCATCATCTCTATTTCTTGGCTGTCATCGTTGAACCAACACTTGAAATCAATATTACTTGAGCCTACAATTCTCAGTTGAAGCCTTAAGTAAACTCCGAGAGTCAATCTCTTTTGCAACGAAATCCCAATCCTTGAGAGCTTTGGAATTTGACGGTGTATGTTAGCAAAAGCTTCTTCGAATTTATAAAAGAAGAATTATATGTATTTGTTATTAAACTATGTTATATGAAGGCCAATGAAATATGTTGTAATTCTTCTAGTAATTAAAGGGGTTTTTAAAACTAATAGCTGAGAAGAGCTGTGGTAATGCCACATCATCTAAAATGGCAAATTTGTATATATATTACCAAATCAAGGTTATTTTTTCAATTTGCTTCCCTTTTAATAATAAGGGGATACGCTGTTACAAACCATATGATTGATCATAACAAAAAACTGAGTAAATACAACAATACATGAAATTAATAGTTTAGATGAGAAAATTTTCTTGATAGCACAACATCCTAATACATTTCTTTAGCATGATATATATTGGATCCAATTCTGTGGTTAAGTATTTGTACAATTATGTGATTAAATATTTATACAATTGGTTTTGACTATGCAAACCAAGATAAACCAAGACATGCTGAGGAGTTGGTTCATTCGGATTATTTAAGGCTAAGTGCCGATAATTTTTAGGTGGTTTAAGAATATAATAAAACGACAGTTTATTAAATCAGTAGCATAAGGAAGTAAATATTGAGGAAAACTCAAGGCTAAGTACACAATATACTTCCCTTTTAATAGATTAGGTATACGTGTTTGTTTGGGGCTGTTAAGCTATTCTTTGTGTATTTTTAGTAGCTAACCGAATATGACCGGACCGGTTATCACCAAATAAATAAAATAACAAGTATACCGAAACTTTGGTACTACATTGCGAGATACATTACTCCTTTTAAACCAAACAAAAACTTAAAAATCAATCTCAGGCAAAAAAAAACATCTCAACGATCTCAACGTAGAGATTTTAAATTTTCACGACTCGAACTCGTGAACTTGTTGAAGAACTCGGTAGATTGTATTGTAACGTTAGATCTTGTAGACGTTGTTTCGTCATCATGAGACCGAAGAGTCGATGTCGGAATCATAGATCTCGTGAAGAAACTGTTTTTCTCTTCCACGAACGAGTTGTGTCTCTTTCTTACGTTACGGACATGACGTGGCGGTGGATAAACTGGAATGTCGCAGCTGGCTCTGTGTTTAACCCAGCCCGGTTTTGATTTCACGGTTGAGTTCTTCACAATTAAAACGAATCTTTAATCATTACGTGAGGAAAATTGGTGTAACTTCAAAAAAGTTCAAACAAAACAAAACTTACGTGGATGAGAGAAGATGAGACTGGTACGGGACACTTAACCGGGTGATCTTCTTCTTCCGGTTCAACCGGATGCTCTACCGGACAAAATTCTACGTCGAGTTGGTTGTTCTCTTCATCGTATTCCATCAAAATTGTCTCCTCCACACTATCTTTTTTGCCCTAACCAAGTCAAAGAAAACAAGAGAAACATTAAATCAAATGGGATTAATCTCAAAAAGGTTTTGTTGCAATTTTTTTAAAAAAATAACTGAGTCCAATTTCGTAAAATGACTAGAGTCAGAGGGTTTACGTCGAAATTACAGAAGTAAAGAAAGATTTGGTGAAAGGAAAGAAAAAACTCACTGAGAGATTGAAGTCCATGAGCTTGATGAAGATGTAGGAGATGAGAGAGGAATAAGTGTGAAGCGAGAGTGTTTGTGTTTAAAAGGGTTAAAATAAAGTGCAGAGTAAAAATAAATAAATAAATAAAAGTTGGTCTCGCATGAAAAGAGGTGATTTTTAACCCCACAGTGAAAAAAGATGTGAGGCAGAAAAAGATTCCTTAACCTCCCACTATTTTTTTCTTTGCTTTTTAGGGCCATTTTTCACATAATCCAAATGGTGTATGGGTAATAAACTTTTTTGCAGATCTTTATTAATACTAGCAATTGGTGCCAAATCCAAAACATGACATGTATAAATGGAGTATATTAAGTAAATTATTAGTTACCAAAAAAAGTAAATTATCAAATCTTTAAACTACAACAAAATGAACTGTAACCCAAATAAATATTTATAAAATCTTGCTAGAGGACACTGAAATATTTTTCATATGATAATCACAATATTTATCAAGATAGTTAAATTAACATTTTAGAGAAATAACAGCTTATATAGTTATATATAATTTATCCATATAGAAAACTAAATGTAGTTTTTACGAATGAAGATTTATCCATATTATTTATCCAGGGTCTAAAAAGAAGATTTAAAGAACTACAATGTATTATATTTACGTTCCTGCTTTCTTTTTTCGCACAAATTCACGTTCCTGCTTTTAACAAAAGAAGATGATATCTTTCTTTGAAAATCCGAACAATCTTTTGCTTTGTTTCATGTCTTACTCTCTTTCTTTCTTTTTTCTTTTAGGGTTTGAAGAAGACTGGTGATACACTGATACTGGAAAGCTATCGCTCGTATTCCGTTAAAATTACAAATCAGATAAATTGCAAAAAAGAGTAATAGCTAAAGCCGGTCGTTACGGGGAAAGCATGAGGTCGACCACTTTACTTTACTCAACAAGCCGTTTTCTGTATGGACATAGAAAAGCATTCTTACTATAAATACACAACTCCATTGTATATAAATCGATATATATACGGTACAAAGTTAGCGTAGTCAGTTACAAAAAAAAAAAGTTAGCGTAGTATAATCAATCTTGGTATATCATTTAAAGATTTATCAGAATTTGGATGCATCTATACGTTAACGTGTTTAAGAGTGGGCTTTGTTCTATAACTTTTACTCCGTCAAAAGTATGATCAACCATTGGTTTTGGACTGAATATTGATACAATCAAACATAGATACAAACACATATTTAAGCTTTCGATTAAATAGTTATTTCCTTCTTATATATAAAAGGAACATATATAGCAGACTTTGTTACTATAAGATAGACCAGTTGATAAAAAAAAATATATATATATATTGACCAGTTCACAACGGGAATCAGGGCATGCGATGTGCCCATCATTATAAACTCATAAAACACTGTAGCGACACCAGGATACCATTTGTGAGTTTCACACTCATCATCTCATATGTTTTAGAGCTCTCAAATTATGTTGGTACAAGATCTATTTAGGAATGAAATAGAAGATAGAGCAGAACATAGTGACCGGGTGAAATTCTGCATTTCGTCCAAAATCATTTTTTCTGAAATCCACAAGAATTAATGTTCTTGAGGCTTTGCCAAGTTCTCAAGCGCATTTTCTCTCTCACATTCTTACAAAATCACAAACTTTCACGTTCTCACTAATGTCCATTTATATACATACTCTTAATAAAACAAAACCATCCATGAGGCTAGAGTCAGTCATATATACTTGTATATTTAGCTTGAGGTGAAAAATAAATATCAGACATTTCAGTTTCATTTTATAACATATTACCTATACATAGCAAGCGGTCAACAGGCTGTTATGTTAGACCATGTTTATTGAAGGTCCCTTAAACTGGGTCCCTTAACGTACGGTCCCTTAGTTTTTAATTGAAAACGCTAAGGGACATCCCTTAAATCCCTTAAGTAAGGGACGTCCCTTAGCATTTTCAGTTAAAAACTAAGGAACTGTACATTAAGGTACCCAACTTAAGGGACGTGCAATAAACATGCCCTTAGAGCATGATTATTGGTTGTCCCCCAAAATTAGTCCTTAGGTTATTTTAGTATTATAGTTAACTTAAGAGTTGTTGTTAAGGACTTAGGTAATTTTGTAGATTATTGGTCGTCCTTAATTTGTTAGTCCTTAGAGATATTTTTGTCTTTTTGTAAATAATGAGATATATAAAGATAAATATAAAATTGAACATAAAATATTGAAATTGCAAACATAATATTAAAAAAATTACAGAGAAATTTTTTTTAAAAAAACATCATAACATTTTTTATTAAACCGGAGTTTTTGGAGTGTTGAGGCAAAGCCATTTCTGCTCGTGCCTCAACACACACCAAGCGTGTTCCAAGTTGAACTTCGTCTCGTGATGAGTGAAGAATATTTCATGCGCCAACTTGAAAGTTTTAGTCTCGTGTTGACCAGAGGTGATTTGTCTCTCTGCTGTTGAGTAGGCCGCACAGAACTTGTTGACACAATCGTTGATTTTGTGCCACCTTTGCTTGCAGTGGAGATGCTCTGTCCTTACACCACCATCTCTCGCGTGAGGACTTGCCCTGTAATACTCCCCTACTCGTTTCCAGAAGGTCCGAGCATTCTGATCATTTCCCACAACAACATCCTTAGAGCATCCGCAACAAGGAATCCTTAGGGGAAATCCTTAGGAAAAAAGAAAAAGGGGTATTTCAGATTATATAAGGATATTTCGGATTATTTCTTTAAAATAAAAAAATCTGACCAATCGTGGACCGACACGTGGGCAGTGGAGCCCATGAATAGTGTAAGGATCCTTCCAAATCAATCCTTACATAAGGATTTTATTCTTAAAATCCTTAACTATTCATGGGACCCATTGGTTATAAAATTAATATTTCCTTAAGGATTCTCCCTAAGGACCCCTTGTTGCGGGTGGTCTTAGATGTGTTGAGCCAGGCACTGATCAGAACTTCATCATCAGCAGGCGTCCACTTCCTTCTATTCTTAGCTGGTGTTGGTTCAGGTTGAGGAGGCACGTCGGTTTGTTGGGAACCGAAAGGGGGATTCTCAGCTCCCAGGTTCATGGTGAGATGAAAACTTTCATAAGAAGGAAAGTTTTCATTCATAACAGTCTCGTGTTGACTGTTAAGAAGTCCTATGTAACTAGAATCCATACCAATATAGAACAGAGAAGACTAAATAAAAAGATGGTGTTGATTATAGAAGGCAGGTTGGTGTTAAATAGGCGAGAGTGTAGATTGTGGTAAGTTAGCCACTTAATGGCTAACCATAAACCATAAAGGTCTTTTCAGAAGTTATTACAAAAACAACAACTACAAACCTATCAACTTTACTTTAACAATTTGAATCAACTAAAAGAGTATCTCGTTTCAATCTAACTACGTTTCACACTACCTAGACATAAAGGGAATAAACTAAACCATCTTTAACTACACAGGTGACACTGCATTTACAGAAATCCACCTAACTACGACACAAACTAGCTTTTCACAAATTCGAAAACAATTGTAATTATTTTCGAAGAGTCACATTAATAAACAATCTCTCATCACGCATAACAGGTGTACATTAACTTCACAGAGAACAACTTATCCTAACACAGTTTAATGCATCAAAGAAACAGAGGATACAAACAGAGAACAACTTATCATAAATGAAATCATGCATCAAAGAAATTCAAGTCAACAAACATCACAACACAGTTTAATTTAATCTCCCAACTTAATCCTTTTCACAAATGAAACCAAGCATCAATCGATTTGTTTATATGCATACATCGAAGACCCACCAATATTAAGAAAAACCTAATTTTGTTTCATTGTCAATCCTTTTCACAAACGCCAATTCCACTAATCACATCTAACGCAACCAAAACCAGAAACAGAGGATACAAATCGTCAATCGAAACTATATAACGCCAATTCCACTAATCACAATTCGTCAATCGAAACGGAAGACACAGAGCCCTAAACACCTAAATCAACTGAAGCCGATGAAGGAGAAGAAACACATACCTCGTTTAGGTTTTAATCGGCCGTGAATCGTCGGAAGTGGAAGCAGAAGGAGTTCGGGAGAGATATCGCCTCTGTCGCCTCGGAGATGAGAGAAAGGAGAGAGAAAGGAGAGAGAAGTCGAGAATGAAACGCGATGACACTTCCCACATCCTATTTCGCCGACGTCTGAGATGATGCCACGTCTCTCCTAAGGACCAAGCCCAAAGTCCGTAAATAAGGAACGTAGCTCGATTATTAAGTCTTTTTGATTTATTTTTTAACCCAAAACAATAAGGACCAAGCCCAAAAACCACCAATAGTCATGCTCTTAGCCTATCTATTAAGAGCACCCTCAAACGCAAGGATTCTTAGCCAAAAGAATAATTAAAAATATTGCGGGTCCCACTTAATTCCAAGAGTTATCTCTTCTATTTCTTCCGTAAGAGATGTTCTTAGGGTTGGTTCTTGATTGTTTATGAGCTCCACCGACACGTGACAGTTCGCGACTGGTTCACTTTATTTTTTTGTTTCAAGTAGGAAAAAAAAGATAAATAAAAAATTCCTAAAAACTTTTGGGATTAATGATGCTCTAAGTCAAAGAACTCGTAATATAATAATCAAAAGAAAGCGGCCGACAAAAAAATTGTCATTAGAAAACAATATTCTAAAATGAAAAAATGAAAAAATGAAAAATAAATTTAAATGAACTTTTTAAGAAACGAAAAAAAAGTTACGAGAAAATAAAGATGTGGAGACACGCCACCGTAGCTATATCGGACAGAGTCAGTCTAATCGCGGCGGCGGATGATATTTTTTTACAGCGAAAATTATCAAAGCGACGAGCCACAACGATCCTCACTAGACACCCAACGGTCGAGTCAATCATGCCCATATACGAACAAACTATCATATTGAGGCCCAAACATCACCTAAATCATAATTTTAATTGAAAAGTACATGAATTGATATTTATGGCCCATTAATCTTTCAGTCCAATAAATAATCACATTTTAACAAAGCTTTATTGTTTTTTTTTGACAAAGCTTTATTATTATTGTTCACTGTAATATATTCTTATCTTAATTCAATCATAAATGTAACAAATATAAAATACCACATTGGTATTATATATTTTTGTATTTTTGGCAGCTTTTAAGTAATAATGGATGTATCCAAACTTGTGGATGAAGGCATGAAACAAAAATATCCGAATAAAATGAGTAATGATGAATCCGGATTAATGTTCTTAATTTCTTCCAGATAAATAACTAAATTATTTTAATATAATTTATGTATATAAATGAAGATAAAAAGCAAAGGTACAAAGAATAAAATGAGGAGTTGGGGGAGATGATGGCATTTCTTTGCTTTGTAATTTAGGAGCATGTGACTTGATCCCTCTTTTCCAACTCAAATCTCACATTCACATTAAATAACAACAAAATATTCCATTTGTATTAGTTTCGTTCTAGGACTACAATATTAACGATACTCTTTATCATCTCTCTTATTCTAAATTCCAGTTTTAAGTTCCAGGAAAATTAGACTAGTTGTATGTCTTGAATACAGTTACCAAATTAATTAGTATGTATTACAATGTTCTATGGAAAAAAACTAATGGCTGGAATGGTGAAGCAAGTGCTTAATGAGATTCGTCTCATCGTAGGAAATGATTACAAACACTATCTCATATATTTTCTTTATGCAAAGGCTGTCACCGTAAGATCACATCTATTTTCGTTTTTTTGTTTGTTTTATTTTGCCTTTCGTTTCATTAGGAAACGAATTTTAGACAACTGACAAAAACTTGACGAAGCATCGTTCAAAAGAGTCAGACGAATTATAATACCACAATAACATATATATTAACTAAAAATCGATCAAACTAAGCAATGAATATATATATATATATATATATATGACAGTTACAATCAAAACAGAAAAACATGTTTACCTAATCCGATCCATCATTTGTATTATCTTTGAAGTTTAATGGAAGCAAACTTGGTAACCTTATATAATAGACGCGAGCTAGCTGATGAAAAAAACTGTAATAGTTTGTGATCGAGAAATTAATTTAGATTATGAAAACAATTAATAGACAGTTTTCATAAGAGTTTCAACACTAAAAACAAATTTAGTAAAAGTATTAAGAATATTTTATCAACTAATCTATGTATAACTCGATTAAGTTTCGTTGTCATATACTTCCCCCTCTCTTTACTTTAGATCTGTTGATGAAACCAGTTACATGCCTAAGGAATGACTGAAGAAGAAAGGCAAAAGCCTAAAAGGAAACGACAGTGGAGAGTGGAGCAGGGTCACGTGAGTAAGACGTAAGATCACGTGCGGAATCTATTTTTTCTAAAGATGTTTTCTTAAATCGGGGATCCTGTAGAGTTTTCTTAAATATATCGTACTAGATGATTTTCCCGTGCTCATGCACGGACATAAATATTTATAAAATAAATATATTATAATAATTGATTGATATTTACTTCAAATTTTAAATTAATTTATAGTTTGTAAATATAATTTATATTAATAATATTATATTAAATTAATTATATATAATTTTATATATGTTATATTTCGTCTGTTTTTACGGTTGATTTAATTATCATTGAGATATATTAGATTCTATCTATTTCTCTGAATTCAACTATAATCTTTTTTATTCTAAATATATTAAATTTTTGATTAATTGTCTTATTTGCATTTATGCCGGTTGTTATCTTAGAAATATAAGTATATCCTGTTTCTAAATAAAATTCTTAAGTAACTAATAAATTTTTGCAAGCTTATGAACACATATCAATATTTACAATATTTAGACTGATTAGATGTTAAACTGAAATTTATTTTAAATAATTTTGAAAAATAAGGATTCCGATTTGCTTAAATATTTTGATTATGGTTATATTAAGTTCTACAAACATAAAAACAGAAAATTAAAAATCAAAAGATTTATTAAGAAAACATATAATTTTAACTATTAAAATATAATATATCTACTTCGATAAATTATATAATGTTATAATTTTAAGATAATTGTAGTTATTTGATCAAAAAATATTTATTATTAAAATATGCAGTAAAAATGGTATTGTTGTTGAGAAATTATATTATATAAGTAAATAGAATTTATATTTTTTCTGTAATTGTAAGATATTATAGTCAAAAATATACTAAAATAAAAAAATATATATTTCAAGAATACTAATTATAATTTTTTTTTCAATTAAACATATATCATTTTATGTTACTTAATTATTTTATGTAATCATCTAATAAAATAGATATAAAGAAAAACAAATACTTTGAAAATCTATATTTTTATTGTTTAAAATTATTTTTAAAAATAAAAAAATATCTCTTTTCCTAATATAAAGATTAGTTGTGTGAACTTTTTTTATGGAATCACATTGAAGATATAGTTATAAAGTACTTTATTACTTCAAAATTATATTTTATGTTATTTAAAATATATTTAAATTAAATATTACTATTTTGTGAACTTTCCATTTTTATGAAACCATATTTATATATACTTATATTTTCGTTTTTAAATAGTTTTGTAAATTTTATACATGTTTCCTTTTTATTTTATATTGTTATTTGGAAAAAATTTAAAAAGAAATAATATTTAAATGTATTTTTCATTCATTAGGGGTATCATAGTAATCAACCAGCGTAAGAGTTAACGTGAGCGCGACACATAAGAAAGTGACTTCACAAATAATATTATAGAGATAATATTTTTCATATTTACTTTTTTTTTTTTTTGATAAATTTTTTTCATATTTACTTTTGGCTTGAGTTATTTTGATATGCATGTATTTTGATTTACTGCCCGCCTTTTACTAAATTTTTGTTTAATTCTATTAATGTTTTCCCGTTTAACTGCATGGGCAGCAGTAGTACATCCATATATAAGCCAAATAGAAAACATAATAGTTTGTCTGCATTATTGAAAACACAGAATTTGATACTTAATGCAGTTATATCCTTGGATTATTCACAAGACTATATACCTTTTTCTCTTTTGTTTCCAAGTGTTATTCGCAAAGAATATTAAAATTGAGTCATGTAGTTGTGGACCAAACCTTGGAAAATGATGACATAACATCCATATATATCAGTGAAATTTTTCTATAACTGTCTATATATTATTGGTTTACTTTAACAATGATGGAATGACAAGATATGTATTAGTAACACTATTTATAGGACTTGAGAGAGACAGTCAAAAGTTATAATCCACAAATAATATGTTAATCTAGTTATTTAATCATTTCTTATATCATCTAAGCTTAAGAGTGAGCACCATATGCATATATAAATTTCTCTGATAGTTTACAAAATACAGAACTACTTGTATTTCTGATCTCTAGCTTGAATTATAATTTGATAATGGTAGGATTTCAGTTTTACCATAAGTTTGATATAATTTTTCGAAATTACCTTTAAATGATAATTATTTTTATAAAAATACTTTAAATTTGTTACAAAAAAATAAATTAACTCTAGTAAATCATTTATAAATGTTTACGAATAATTTATAAAACATTTATAAAAGTATATAAACAAATCACATTTTCTAAATACTAAATCCTAACAATAATCACTAAACGTAAACCTAAATGTTAGAGTCTTTTTGATTAAGTGTATTTTTTAAAAGTTATAATCAACTTAGAGTAGTTAACGCATTTTCTCATTGTTTATGTCAAGTAATCTAGTGTAGATAATAACAAAGATATATAACCGTATTATAAAATGTTTTAAAAATAGTTTATGAAGATTCAAGAAAATCAGACAAACTCATCAATCAGACAAGATATGGGTCCAGCCAAAAATCCACATATCCAACACACTCTAAGAAACAAAGTCTAAAATATAAATACAAAGTAACAAAAAGAAAAATCTAAATGTAATTCTAAATAAACACATCCATCTCGCTCTCTCTCTCCCCAAAAGTGTACGTATGTATGTATAGATTGTATGTAATGCACTGAGCTTTATAAACGAGGCAATATAGGTATCAAAGACCCTCTAAGTTGCTCTAAACTCTCAAGTGTATTATGAGAGAGAAAGGTTGATGATACAAAATAGCGAGAGAGAAATAAGAGAGAGAGAGAGAGACCCAAGAAAAAGCTTTCATCATTTAACATAGGAGAACTTTGAAGAGTCTAAGAAAAAGTTTTGAAAAGCTTTTGTTGCCAAAGCTTAATTAAAAGAACTTTACACCCTCTCTCTTTATTAGTCCTTCCTCTTCTTTGTAAAGCTGAACCTCCCACTATCTCAATTTTTATTTTGTCTCTGCGTCTTGCTGTTTCGTCAAATCAATCTCTAGAAATCCAAATACAATAAAGTCAAAAAGAGAGAAGAAAAAGTAGTGATTGATGAGAACCGATCAAGGAGCAGTAGTGATGTTGGATGATGATGCTTCCAACAAGAACACTGGTAACCCATGTTGTGTGGTTTCTTCTTCTTCTTCTGATCATTTCCTCACTTCTTCTGAAAATGGGGTCACCACCACAAACACATCCACTCAGAAGAGGAAAAGAAGACCTGCTGGTACACCAGGTAAATATTAAATGATCACTACTTGGATTTAAGTCTAAAGTTTCAAAATTTTTGTTTACCTGTTACCACCAAATTTAACTCATGGGTATTTGAGTCTCCCTGGTTTTCTCTCTAAAACCCCATGAAAACACACTCACCTTTGTTGTCAATGTTTAATCAAAGACATGTTCTTTTGATGGGTTAGATTTTAAAAATTATATATTTTCTTTTAGTTCTTATCAACCCCCATTAAAATTTGTAACTCAAAGACATGCTTTTTTATAGTTTTGTTTCAAACTTTCTTTCTTTCCTTATTCCAAATTTAAGTTTATAGATGTATTAGTGGGTTACCTTTGAATTCTCTTAAAACCCATTAAAAATCACAACCTTTTAAAATTAAAATTAAAAAGAACAAAAAGAGATCTAAACTTTATTGAAAGACATGTGTTTTTGATGGGTTTTGCTTCTTCTATTCAGATCCAGATGCAGAAGTTGTGTCTTTGTCACCAAGAACTCTTCTTGAATCAGACAGATACATATGTGAGATCTGTAACCAAGGGTTTCAAAGGGATCAGAATCTCCAGATGCATCGAAGACGTCACAAGGTTCCATGGAAACTTCTGAAGAGAGACAACAACATAGAAGTGAAGAAACGAGTCTATGTTTGCCCTGAACCTACTTGTCTTCACCACGCTCCATGTCATGCTCTTGGTGATCTTGTTGGAATCAAAAAACATTTCAGACGAAAGCACAGTAACCATAAGCAATGGGTCTGTGAGAGATGCTCTAAAGGTTATGCTGTTCAATCAGATTACAAAGCTCATCTTAAAACTTGTGGCACTAGAGGCCATTCTTGTGACTGTGGTCGCGTCTTCTCCAGGTATAAATTTTTTTGTTCCTCTCACTGTAATTCGATTTTTAATCAGATAGATTCCAGTTTTTTTTTCGAATTTTGGACCCATTGTATCAATTATTGTTGTTGTAGATCATATACTTACAAGAAAAAAGAAAAATATAGGTCATAAATAGAAAATTGCTTTAGCGACCCAAAACCAATATTGATAGTTATAGTACTATTTTGATTTGACTGTCTCTCAGGATTTTTACTAATTCTGTGTATTGGTATGTTTCTATCACAGTTTTTCTAAGATTTCTAACTATTATGTTTGGTATTGTGACATAAAGGAAAACTTAATTAATTAGATTAATGGCATTGACCCCAATCTCTATAGAAATTAAATATATTTAGCCTTTTTAGTGGACCTAAACTCATGTTTGTATAATATAAATTATGAGTCCTAAGTTATTTCATAGGTCTTACTAGTAAACTTTTTTTTTGTCAACCACAAGTGAAACTTAATATTAAATTATAAGTTTACCAATATAATAATCACTTTGACAGTTCATAACCCTATATCATATGAAACTATTTAATTGATATGTTTCTCTTTTTTTTCTTAGGGTGGAGAGTTTTATTGAACATCAAGATAACTGCTCCGTACGAAAGGTTAACCGTGAACCACCGCGGCCGCCACAACCCGTCGTTACTGTCCCGGCCTGCTCCTCTAGAACCGCCTCAACCGCAAGCACTCCATTTAGTGAAGCGAATAATTGTGGTGCGGTTGCGGTTGCGACTACTATACCTCTAGAAGGGCGTCCAGTTAATATGAGAAACCCATCTCTTACACCTTCGAGTCTCAACCTCGAACTCCAGCTTCTTCCATTAACATCGAACCAAAACCCTAATCAAGAAAACCAACAACACAAAGTTAAAGAACCATCTTATCATCAAAATCATGATACCACAAACCTAGACCTCTCCATTGCACCATCATCATCATATCATCATGATTACAACAACTTTGATCGCATCAAAGAAATAATGGCGACCGAACAGCTCATGAAGATAGCGATGAAGGAGAAAGCTTACGCGGAGGAAGCTAAAAGAGAAGCGAAGAGGCAACGAGAGATGGCGGAAAACGAGTTTGTGAATGCTAAGAAGATAAGGCAACAAGCACAAGCGGAGCTTGAGAGAGCTAAGCTTTTAAAGGAACAATCTATGAAGAAGATAAGTTCAACGATTATGCAAGTTACTTGTCAAACTTGTAAAGGACAGTTTCAAGCTGTTGCCGTTCCCGCGGCCGCGGACGAGACATCTCTTGTGGTGAGTTACATGTCATCAGCGAATACTGACGACGGAGAGGGATCATGATAGAGTTTGAAAAAAGGGTTTAAATATGTTAGATTCGGGTTTATTATGGGCTTCCAACTTAAAACCAATTGGTGATTAGTGGATTGGCTCCAACCCTTTATATAGTAGTAGATTACTTTTTATATTTCCGATGTGGGATGTTTCTCATCAATACCCTCCCTCACGCTCAGACATCTAGGTCTGAAGCGTGGACAATGTGGGAATAACATCCACAGAGGGCCCAACATCGGTATAGTAGTAGTAGTTGTAGTAAATTAGGTCAAAGGATCTTATCGCTCTGATACCATGTTAAATTCGGGTTTATTATGGGCTTCCAACTTAAAACCAATTGGTGATTAGTGGATTGGCTCCAACCCTTTATATAGTAGTAGATTACTTTTTATATTTCCGATGTGGGATGTTTCTCATCAATAAAATACAAAAGGATAAACTGAGATAAATGAAACATTTTATGAATTACGTGATTATCTTGTTTTTCATCTTTCTGTTACCATTATTATGTGATGGTTAAATATTGTCATTGTTTATTTTTTTCAGGTAATGAAAACTTCATGTAAATATTGGGTTCAATTATTTTCCCATTTTAGACGTCTACACTAGTTAACGAAGCTAAATATTATTGAATAAATATTATTAATCACTGATAATAATATATATTGAATATAAAGTTATTTGTGTTTGTTTTGCCTACAATATTTTTTGTGAAGCTTGAACTGAGGTACCCAAACATTTTTTACTGAATAAACCAATCCATGTAGCAGATTAATAAACTCTACATATAGTAAAAACTTTATAAATTAATAATGTTGGGATGATGATACTTTATTAATTTACAGAGTTATTAATTTACAAAAAGTTTTATTTAAATTTTATAGTCTAAGATGTAGTTTTTCTAAAATAAGAAAATTATTTGATTTTAGTCTATATACGTTACTTATTTTTTTGAACTTGGAAATTTATATTTGGTTTATTATATTATTTAGTGTATATAAAATATATTTTGAGAATTTAAATGTGGTTTTAGATAGAATTCTATTAATTTTCATCAAAATATATTACGTGTAAAAATATATAAAAATAACTCCATTGTGGTTATAGATTATATTTACATAAATATATATACATATCAATTAATAATTTATAATTTTAATAAGACCATATATATAGTATTTTCTAAAAAAATATTATCTTATTATTCTATCGATGATTTGTGACATATTTTGAATTGATCAAACTAGGAATCAGATAAATTTATAGTATTTGATAATTTATCAAGTATTAATTTATAGATTTTTTATATATAACCCAGAAATTGTATAGTCTGAATGTTTCATTTATTCTTTAAATCAAATGCAAAGTAAGGTATATAATTGCTTGGGGAGAGATTATATTGGAGTAATGGAAAATGTACTGTATATGATGTCGTTCTGGTCCGTGACCGTTACACTTATAACGAGGTACATAGACAAACATCGAATCATCATTCGTTAGATTCGGACAAAAAGTGTTGATCTATAATCATGATAAAACAATCCGACCCATTTTCACTTGTTGTTATTACAAATTTTAGCAAACTTTATATCTACCATTTACTGTCTTCTATTATTTTTTAAAACATATTCGCCTGATGTTATTTACTTCCACGGTGTTTTCCATTACTTCAACCAAAAACAATAAGATGTAGAAAAAGAATATAAGAAAATACATATACATAGCTAATTAGTTATAGTGTTCACATAGAACACCGGGGAAATAGTCCACATACAATTTTGTCAGTCAGGAGATTTATACCATCGTACACTAATAAGAAGTTACACATCAAGCTGTAATGCATTATCTAAGCGTGATTAGGTCATTGGACAGTTTATGTTTATCATCGATATTTAAAAAAGTATGAGGGAAAACACAAAAAGACATGTTTATATAATACACATTATAGACTTCATAACTAATACTTACATTATAGTGATGTTTCCAACCAAACATTTTTAGATTGGACATGTCTATGATTTATGAGCGAGCATGCATAATAAATGAATGTCGATACATGAAAGAGAAAGACATTGATTGAGTCTAAGTCTATATATAGCAATAGTATATAAAATATCAAAATAAGACGATCTTTTGCGTACGAGAGTAAAGAAGCACTACAAAAATCTAAAATCTGAGGTGGGTTTGGTTTTTGTACATTTTCTAGGACCAACTTTCGTTGCAAAAATTAGTAAGATATAAAGATTTTTTTGATGAGGACTTTGAACAAATAAATAAGAAACGACATGAATGTCTGTCTGAGAAGTACTCCCTCCGTTTTATATTAAGTGTCATTGTAGAGAATTTTTTATGTTACAAAATAAGTGTCGTTTTCGGTTTTCAGTGCAAAATTTATTAATTTTATTATGTAATTTGTTTTTCTATTGGTTAAAATATGGTTAGGTGTGTGGGTAATTGTGTTTTTATATAGGAAATATGTAAAATTAATTGTTTTCTTAATCCGTGTGCACAGCTGTAGAGTGACACTTATATTAAAACAGAGGGAGTAAAGAAGTGTGCTAAGTAGATAAGAGAGTGACAAATGCCAGCTCGTTACTCCGTTACAACTCCATGGCACTGAAAACCATGGCGTTTTCAGTTTGCATTTAAACTGCACTCAATTGCATTGAAAGCGACTATTCTCTTTCTCTCTCTTTCTCTCTCGTTTTCATCATTGTGTCATACAGTAGATGTTTGCAGATTCTGCAGCTATGTTTGTCACAGAAAGAAAGGTAGAGAGAGACAACATATTAGGCTTTCTCTATACTAATGGCAAAACACATGCGTAATATAATGCATGCATATATACATATATATGTATGTATGATGATGGTTTATGTATGTAATGTCCAGACATATATTGTATATGTTTGATGATGATTTATGTGACAAACTCGTGAATTTATGGTTTATACTAATGGCCAAACTCATGATTTATGATTTATGTCACAAACTCGTGAATTTTAAACAAGGTATGTAATAATTTATATCCATGTGTATCAAATGATGGAATTCACCTTTGAAGATATATGTCTCTATTTATAAATGAATGTATTAGCGTATTTTAAAATTATACATTACCAAAAAATTGAACATTATAATTGCGTTATAGTGAATTATGATCGGAGTGATTTATATAACAATAAGAGTTTAGCTTTTATTAAGAAATGGAAGAACATTTGAACGTGCAATTCCATAAGAGTTTAGCTTTTTATTTTTGTTTTTTTGATAAATTCTATCGGATGGCCGAAAGAAACACATTTGATATTATAGAGTGGAATAGTCTAAAAACATACCACACTATATTATTTGAGTTTGAAATATTTTCTGACTAATATTAATTTTATTTACCGGAAAAATCAAACATACGATTAATGTGAATATACACCAAACTTTAAGAGATTACCAATAAACTACCATTACTTCATTAATCTTTTATCTTTTAAGATGGCATTTTAGAGGAGAATGTTCATATTTGCTTCTCTTCCCCTATTCAAATGCTCATCTTTCTCGGGATAAAGGAACTTTTGTTATTGTAGCGCCCATTCTACTTTTTTTGTTTGCAGTTATCTTATCTTTTTGATAAAAATGAATGTAAAAAAACAATATCTAGTTGTGTTCATAAATTACTCGGTCTTTAGTGCTATTATGTTCGATTTGAGGTTTGGTCGTAATTTTTTACCCATGTTTTTTTTGAGCAACTTTTACCCATGTTATGGTCTCAATTCTAATGGTGTTCTTTGTTGGATTTGGAAGTGGCTTAACATGAAAGTATCTGATCACATGGGATTGCATCATACTTCCCACAAAGGACAACCATATGCTTAATTTTTATGTCATGACAAATTCCCCCTCATTTCTTGATGGGATTTATGAATCGACATCCATTTATCCATGGGCATTCCAGTCTTTTTTTGGTAAAAATATTCAGTCCTTTTAAATTGTTTATTCGTTATCTTATTCCAAAATTCTTTTGTTTCGTATATAAGGAAATACAGTAACTTATTTAATGTTTATGGTTTAAGGTACACTATTTTTCTTTTTTGGATATCGAAAGAATTGGAGATTTTTGTATACGCTTGTTCATTAAAAATTCTGGTGGCTTGGCGTTTCGTTCAAATTCTTTTATATATTAGGGGTAGGCGTTCGGGTACCATTCGGGTTTCGATAGGATATTTCAGATTTTTGGGTATTTCGGTAATGGGGTTCAAAATCCAATCAGGTAGTTTTACATATCAGGTCAGGTTTGCGTTCGATTATTTCGGATCGAGTTCGGATATTTTAAATTTTTTTAAAAAAAATTCTTAATTACTCAATCTTTTACAAAACTGACTTTTTAATTTTTAATAGGTTAAATAATTTATAGGTTTAGAAACAAAATTTTGAAAAATATGAGAAACACTAATTTAACTAATGGTTTGAGAATTTAATATAGTTTTTGTTAATGCATGAAATAAAAAGTTTGAAAATTACTTTATCCACAATAATATATATATATATATAATATATATTATACTCCCTCTATTTCATAATAAGTGTCATTTTAACTATTTATTCTTGTTATACAAAAAGTGTCACTTTACAATTCCAATACAAATTATACTTACTTTCAGCTGAAAATTAATTACAAACTGCATTGATTTTATAAATAATTCTATTTATCTAAAATACTAATGGTTAAAGAGGTATAATTAATAACAACTTACATAAATTTCAATCACTTTCTTACTCTATATGAAAAATGTCAAAGTGACATTTATTCAGAAACGGAGGGAGTATAATTTTGTACTATGTATAACAGCAATATAAATATTTTGGATAAAATAAAAGAAATAAACTAGAAATATAAGATTAAATATACATATAATCGGTTATTTTCAGATATCATTTGGATTCGGATACTATCCGTTCGGGTATCCAATCTCTCCTAATTCAATACTCATTCGGGTATTTTACTACTTTGGTTCGGGTTCGGATACCAGATAAAATATCCAGCCCTATATATATATATATATATATATATATATATATATATATGTGTGTGTGTGTGTGTGTGTGTAATAATATATAAGTGCTGTATATTGATTATTAACTGGCCAAATATGTTGTATTTATTTAATTCTCATAAATGAAAAAAAAAAATATTCTGGTTTGGTTTTGCTTGCTCACTTATGTAGATGGGCCCTTTCTTGCTATATGTGTGTTTTACACTGAAATATGAGTCATTTTTGTTTGTTTTGTCTTTTTCAGTTTTGTTCTTATATTTGCTCTAATAAATTTGATTTGGCATTTTCTTTCTCATTTAGTTCCAAATATATTTAAATCTCCAGAAGTAGTGCTTTTAAGGCACTTGGATATGTACCGTGCCTGACTAAATAAACATG